TTGCTGGGGTCCTTGTAAGAGAGTAGTAAGGAGGTCAAAGTTAGAAAAGGGAGATGTGGGGGCCAGCAGATGGTGTAGTGGTTATATTGCTGGACTGCTACATGGCCCACTGTGGTTTGAGTCCCAGACCCGGTGACTTGAAACTCATGCTGGGCATTTTGGTGTGCATGCCCAAGATCCCAAGAGGAGAATGGACAAGAAGGGATTGCAGTGTGGCCATTCCTCCTAGGGGGTAATTTCTCATTTTCTGTCTCTCTGTCTCTGTTGCTTTGACAAGCGCATATAGCAAAATTTTCTTTAAAAGAAGAAAAAAAGGAGATCTGACATAGAGGTTGGAGAGCCCGGGAATGCCAAGACATCCCCCAGAAACCAGAAAAGGCCAGGAGCAGATTCTCCCAGAGCCAGCCAACAGGAACCAGCCTTCTTACCGTGATTTTGGCCCTTCGAGACTGACTCTAGGCATTTGAGCCCCCAAACTGCAAAATAACAGATGTGTGCATTGCTGCAGACCACCACACTCATGGTCATCTTTACAGCAGCAACGGAGAGCTAGCGTGTTCAGGTATTTAACCTTCTGTGGGGCTGTGCACTCCCCCCACTTCCTCTTTGGCTCGCTTGCCGACCCTCACCATAGCTTAGTGGACCAGGGATGCACTAATCGGATTCTTCCCTTGGGATTTTAAGAGAAGCAGAGGCTGCCAACCCAACTTCTCCATATGACACTGTAGGCACAAGGCCTGGGGACCGCACTTCTATAAGGATCCCTGGAAAGGTCTGTTGGCCTAGGGTTAGGCATGGGTTAAATGCATTCTAGGGCACTGCACTGCAGGACATGTCCTTTCACTTTAGGTTACCTTTGCTCAGAAAGCCCAGGTGCTGGAAGGGAGAGAGAGAGGACTTCCTTCTTATGAGCTCTGGGGACCTTCTAGCCAGGCTGATATGGCGCTGGGCCTGTAGAGATGCCAGTACACATCTGTGAAAGTCATTCATATTCACAGCATTTGGATTGGGACTCTGAAGAACCTCTTCATAGTGGGCACCTTCATCTATATCTGGTGAGTCTGGCACAGTGAGCCAGCTGAGGGTAATGGGGCCTGACCTCATTCGTCATCCTTCCCTTGTCCTCCTCCACCACTCCACAGCCATGTCTCCAGCCAGACTTCCTGAGGGAGAAGAACCCTGGCTTCTGTCATCCCCTTCCTAGACTCTCCAGCTTCCCTCTCGTGTTTCTATCGTACCCCTGCCATGTCCAGCTAACTCCCAGCTTCCTCACACCCTTGTCCATTACAGAGACAAATGGCTTTACCTTCTATAGAATGAATACAGTTTTGGCTTCTTAGAGCTGTAGGTCACAGGGATTAGGAAGCCAGGAATTTATTCCCTCAGTCAGGGACCAACCCAGCTCAGAGAAGTGACAGCATGTTTGAGTCACCAAGCAAGATCAGGAGAGTATATCCTGGATGACTGGAAGAACGTTCTTTCCAAAGGATAAGATACTGCAAACTCTGTTTCGTTCCCTCTTTGCCACTGACATAGCTCTGATGCATTTTCTTTTCTTAAAATGTACATGTTGATTGTGATACAAAGACAGGTTTTGTGATTATGAGAAGGTTGGATTCCATTAAGGCCAATCTCTAACATGTTGCACAGCCTAGAATAAGTATGGGCTCCCGAATGGTGGGTCAAGCTGACTTGGTGTTATTCTGGGAGGATGTTGCACAATCCAACATGAGAAACCACTGCAGGTACAATAGATGTGTTTTGTTGCTGGGATGAAATATGTTATTGAATAGGTAGTATTGCACTAGCCTATGGAATTCTACTTTTGTTTTAACTGCCAGCGGGTGTGTGCACTTCCCAGAAAGAGACAGAGAACAGAGAGAGAGGGAGGGAGAAAGCACCCCCCAACAAGGCATGGTCATGTCGCAATCCCTTCTGCTCCATTTCTACACCCTGTCAGGATTTGGGGCATGTACACACATATGTCTGCAAGTCTTTCAAGTCACTGTGGCCAGGATTCAAATCATGGCCAGCCATGTGGGACCCAGCTCCCTTAACCACTAGGCTATGGGACCAGTCTTATCCATTCATCTATTGGTGGGCATTGGGTGCATCAAAGGTTGGCTGTGGTATAATGACCCAGGGAGTTTCAAAATTGCAGTTCCCAGTCCCATCCTTGGAGACTGTGATTCAACATTCTGGGGAATTATCCAAATACATGCACACACACACATACACGCGTGTGCGTGTATGTGAGTGTGTGTGTATGTATGGAGGGATGATCATGCCATAGCCCCTTCTCTTTATTCTCCTCTTGGGCCTTTGGGCACACATGCACATACACCTGGCATATTTTTTCAAGCCACCAGTTCCGAGACTCCAACTCTACAGCTGACCGCTTGGATCCAGTCATTTTAGCCAATATGCCACCTAGCTGTCATGAAACCCATACATTTTTCTCAACGTCCACCCAGGTGATTCTAACGCAAGGCACGATGGTGATCCCTTCAAGGAGTCACAAAAAGACAGCTCATAGGGGGGCAATAGCAAACACATTTGAAGAACGTTCCTATAACCCTCAAATGAAACTCCTAGGTGTGTGTCCTAGAGGAACTTTCACGCTTGTGTCTAAGGCGTTCTATAGAAGGATGTTTATGCAGCATTATTTGCAAGAGGAAAACTGGAAGTAACTAAATGTTCTTGATGGCTGAATGAATAAATGAATGGTTGGCTTCATAGGCAGTACTGTTGTATTCAAATCAGCGTGAGACTAAGAGGACATCCAGTTTGAGCTAAATTAAAGGAGCCTTTATAAAGCTAGTGACTACGGGAGGACCCATCACTCCAAAACCCTGCAGCCCCGAAGTAGAAGGGGAAGGTTTGTAAAGGCGAAAACCACAAAGACAGAAGGAAAACATAAACCTGAGAAGCTGTAAGCCTTGCATCATGTGAGGGCAGTTCACAAAAGCCGAAAGAGCGAGTTATCAGGAAGGACAACCAAGGATGGTAGTGTCCGTCTGCTGGTGATAAGCATTCAGTGAGAAATTTTTAGGAGGCCTCTATGGGGCGGGTTGCGGGGAAGGGGGAATGGCTGCAAAATGGAGCTGCTCGTGCTGCAGATGGTAGGAGGGCAATAGCAAGCACATGTGAAGAACGTTCCTATAACCCAAAAATGAAACTCCTAGCTGTGTGCCCTAGAGAAACTTTCACACGTGTGCACAAGGAATTCCATACAAGATGTTTATGCAGCATTACTGGCAAGTAGAAAACTGGAAAGAGCTGAACATTCTCGATGACTGAATGGCTAAATACATGGCTGGCTTCATAGGCAATACTATACACTCAGTTCATTGTACTCGAATGCTCAGGGCAGCACTACTTACAATAACCAAATGGTAGAAATAACCCAAATGTTCACCAACAGATAGACGGATAAATCTATTGATACAACGGGGTATTATTCAGCCCTCAAAAGAAATAAAGAACTGGGGGCCAGCAGGTGGTGTGGTGGTTAAGGTGCTGGACATTCCCACATGGCCGACCACGGTTCGAGTCCCGGACCTGGTGGCTTGCTTCCTCACTTTCCCTCTCTCTCTCTCTCTGTGTCTCTCTCTGGTCAAATTAAAAAATAAATGAGTGGATAAATAAATAAATAATTTTTTAAAATAATAAAAGAAATGAACTGATACATGCTAAACTGTGGGCGAACCTTAAAAACATTATGCATGCTAACTCAAAGGGGCCAGTCATGGGTCATATATTCTAGGATTCTATTTATATGAAATATCCAGAATAGGTAAAACTATAGAAACGGAGAGGAGGGTGGTGGCTACCAAGGGATGGGGCAGGGAGAAATGAAGAGTGATTGCTAATGGGGTTGAGGTAGCCTCCTGACATAATGAAGATGATTCGGAGCCAAATCCGATGGTTTCATGGCACTGTGAATGTACGGAATGCCATTGATGTGTTTACTTTGCAAGGAAAAGGGAGAACAGCTGGGTCCACGAGTCAGTTCAGTGAGGGCAGCCCCTCACTCAGACGACCCAACATCCCACAGGGCTGGGCAGAGAGAAGGAAGCACAGGCATATATGCTGGGTAAATAAAACATTTCAAACAAATTCTCAGTTAGACAGGGCAATGGGAGACAGGGCAAACAGAAAAATAGGGAGAGAAGCTACCATTTTTAGTGATTAAGTATACTTTCTCCAACTCCCCCCACTATAATCATTTAGATTCAGATTCTGAAGAAAGCATTCATATTTTTCCATGCAACAACCTGTCATGACTTTTCCAACAAACCAGTAGCTAATGAACTGACCAAAAGGCAGAAAAGCAGAGGCAGGGTCATGCCAGGCATGAGCAAGTACTGCAGCGGGTAAGTGGGCTGGCTCTGGGCTGCAGGCAGACCACTCCCGGACCATGGTTCTGCCACTGCTTGTCTGTGACACTGGGTGAGTTTCATCACTTCTCGGAGCCCGTTTTCTCTCCTACAGTAACTGCCTCATGTTGCTGTCACCGGGTTAATGGAGACGAGCATGTTAGGCCATTTGGCACATAAGCGTCAATATGAAGACTAGCTGCTGCAGTCAACATCACTTATCAAGCAGGCAGCTGTTCCTGAAAAGCAGGTGGCTGGCCTGCTTTAGTAGCTAGGAAGGTGCTGATGTGCTACTGGACCGCAGGACAAACCAGGTGGACCTGCCTGGAGCTGGACTTTGCTATTTGACAAGCTGTCCTATAAATTAGGATCCATATCAAGGGACATTAAAGGACAAGATTGTGGGCAATAGTGTTCCCATATGCAAATTACTGTGGGAAGTTTGCAGACAGATCTCATTTAATCCTCACACCACCAGGCTGAGGCTATTCTCCCCCCTTTGCAGAGAGGGAAAATGGGTCCCGGAGAAGTGGGTCACCCAGCAGAGCTGGCATTTGCGTGGAGGCGACCCTCAGAGCCTGTGTCCCACACCACTGATGCTTGTCTGTGTCTGCCACTTAGCTTTGCTCTGATGAGTGACAAGTTGTACCAGCGGAAAGAGCCTGTCATCAGCTCTGTGCACACCAAGGTGAAAGGGATCGCAGAGGTCAAAGAGATCGTGGAGAATGGGGTGAAGTCGGCGCGGAGCATCTTCGACACTGCAGATTACACCTTCCCTCTGCAGGTGAGCACCTGGCCGCATCCTCCCAGGACTCCATGCTGGTCCCTCTTTCTGGGTCCTCATCCTCTTGCCCTGCCACCTGGAGCCTCACTCCAGAAAAGCGTTGGTCCTATTTAAAAAGCTCTGTGAAAATCCCAACTGAGAGAACCTAAAAATTGCAAAACTGGGTCAGATCCAGCAGCTCAAAGGAGATGATTCGTTTTATCAAGTCCCACAGGGTTTCTCAAAATAGCAGCGTGTCCTGGTGCATTTAAATCAGGATTTTGGCTGGCTCTCACTGATCTATACACAGCAGCATTTTAGAAGGAAGACCACCAAGGCAGCAAGGTTGCCTGGATTGGAAATTCAAAGAGAAACTTTCTACCCGGAGACCTCCGACCCTCCCATCCTTGTTTGTTCAGCGTTTTATCAGCAACAGTGTCTCCAGGAGACCATTCTGGGCACATCTGCGCACAAAGGAAGGACGTAGAGGAAAGGTGTGGGTCACAGAGAACAGATGGGGGGCAGGAGGGACAAAAGGGCATGTTTGCAGCTCCAGGGAGTCAGAAAATTTTGCAAAACCATCAAGCCCAAGCTGCTCTGTTTGTTCCTAACAGTGGGGCCATTAAAACCCAGCTATTGCCCAGCCGGTGGGCTGCCCCCATAGCCCTTTAATGCAAAGCCTGTCAAATCTGAGCAGCATTCTGACAAAGCCTCCTCCTCCACCCTCGCCTCCCCAGGTCTCTTGAGTTTCAATTTAATGGGATTTTACTGTGTCAAAAAAAAATGAAAAGGCTGCTTTCAAGGCCAGGATGGAAAATGACGACTGGATCCTTTTGAACAGTCCTCTGCTCTCCCTCGGGCTCCGCAGGGCCACTCATCCAGCTTTGATATTAAGCCCTTGGCATTTTCCAAATTGCCCACCACCCTGGTTCCAGAAGCTTCCAGTGGAAAGTTTGCCCCCAGGCACTTAGCAAGCTGGAGGTGATGATTAAGTGGTTCTGTTTTCCACCTTCCCTTCCTCTCCTTTTTCTCCACAGGGGAACTCCTTCTTTGTGATGACAAACTTTCTCAAGACAGAAGGCCAAGAGCAGGGGCTGTGTCCCGAGGTACGGAGGGCCGGGCTGGCGTGTGGGACGGGTGGTAAGTCTTCCTGCAGGAGCACCACTCAGAGGGAACGGAAACTGGTCCTGCAGTGCATCCGGTTCACAAGTATTCACTGGCTCCTGCCTTTCTCGTGGGCTGTAGTGCTTGGCGGGATGGAAGAAGGGTGAGAGGACATCACAGGCCTCTCTCCTAAGCCCCTGGATCGTCACCTGTCCCCGTTGGTCTCCAGCTCCTTGCAGCCTGGAGCCCTGATGGCCCCCTGATAGCCCCCCGCAGCTTCTAGCAGGGATTCTTGGCGTCTGGGTCACCATTCACGGCTCGTTGGTCCTCACAGCTTTAGGAGGACAGTGGCTAGTCCCACTCTACAGGTCAGGCCACAGATTCAGTAAGGTCAAGTGACTTCTCCAGGGTCACATGGCTTACTGAAGGCAGAGCCAGGGCTAGGGTCCAAACGTCCGGCCACCACCCACTGTGAACTGTCCACAGGGCCAGTCCGGGGAAACGCAGAAGGCAGCTCACGTCTGCCTGCTCATCCTTCTGAGTCCTAGCATCTGCATGGGTGGCAGCACCCACGGCCTCTGCAGTGTCCCGGACTTGACTTTGGGCTGCCCGTACTCTCAACCTTGCCCTACCTCTTTCTGGAGAGCTTTCTTCCCCCATCAAACGATATTTGTTCCATTCTACTCCTTCCCACCCTGCTCTTTGCTCTTGAAGATTAAAAACCAGCTACCCTGTAAGTCCACCTAATTCTAACTACCGGGCACTACCCGCGTCCTCCTCAGTGAGCTCCCGAGCGTTCCGAGGCAGCATCCCCAGCACCAACAGGGCCTGGCAATGTAGCAGTGTCTGGCCCATTTATGTCACGTTCTGCTTCCCTGAGTGACCGCTAAACCCGCTCCCTAGAAAACGGGGCGTCGGTCGTCTGCTTTCTCCTGTTCTCACTCTGTCCTTCCGCCCTGGGAGCCCACTGGCCCCGTTTTCTCAGGCCAAAACAGTGCCAACTGCTGCTCCCCAGTTCCGCATGGGCTGTGTGTCCTGCACCTGTCTGCACGGCTGGCTTCGGCCGCCACAGGACGGTGCAGATAGGGGACCTGCTCTCCGCCCCAGAGCCATCCATGAAAGTGATCTTGGCTGCCCTGAGGCCTGCTTTTAAATGTTTATTTATTTTTACTTTTTTCTTGAATTGGAATTCACATAGCATCAAAGCTACCATTTCAGAGTGTCTGAGTCAATGGTTCAATCTGTTCAGAGTTAGGCACCCTTCATCACTAATTCCTGAGCATCTCCCTCGCCCCCAAGGGAAACCCCCAACCGTGCGCAGCCGTCCCCTCCCCCCCAGCCCTAGCTCCAGTCCTTCGCTATCACTAGTGTGCTTCCTGTCTTCGGATCTGGGGTCCTGGACATTTCACAGAAATGGAATCACAGCACGCGGCCTCTGTGTCAGCATCTTCCTTGGGGTCAGTGCTTCACCTTCCTGTGGCCGAGTATGGTTCCGAATACGAACGTACCACGCATTTTCCGGTCCATTCACCCATCGGTGGGCACTTGGGTTGCTCCCACTTCCTGGTTATTGTGATTAGCACTGCTCTGACCATTCGGGTGTGAGTCCGTGTGCACAGACACCTGCTTCTCCTCACTCTCCCACTCTACTCCCTGCAGTATCCCACCCGGAGAACCCTCTGTTCCTCTGACCGGGGTTGTCGAAAGGGATGGATGGACCCACAGAGCAAAGGTAACTTCCGCTTCTCTCCCCGAGACCCTGGGGCTGGATGGCCTGCAGTCTTGGCGACAGGTCTCCAGCCTCTGGCTGTCCACTGCCTCTTCCTGCCTTCACCGAGCCATAGGTGAGCCTGGGTCTGCCCCATGCCTGGGCTCTGCCCCCGGCAGACTGGCTGCTGACTGTGAATATGACTCCAACTCCCCAGCAAGGCAAGCTCCTGAAAACCTGCTAGGCTCAGGGTTCTAACGGGTGGGAAAATCAGATGGCCCGTTGCATCAACTCGATATTCTAAACAGTCTCCTTGGACCCCCGAAGGTTGACGAACATGAGCGTATGCTCCCAGCACACATGGGGGTGATACCATATCAACTGGAACAACATCCTTATCACATGGTTTCACTTAAAAAGGCACATGACAGGGGCCAACAGATGGTGTAATGGTTGTCACTAGACTGCCATATAGTTGATTAAGGTTCGAATCCCGGATCTGGTGGCCTAAAAACTCATGCTGGGCACATGTGCGTTGTGTGCCCAAGATCCTGAGAGGAGAATGGAGGAGGAATTGTGGTGTGGCTATCGCCCCTGGGGGGTGATTTCTCACTTTCTGTCTCTCTGTTTCTTTCTGTCTCTCCAGTGAGCACACACGTCCTATAGCAAAAATCTCTCTCTTAAAAAAGAAAGTCACGGGAACCAGCAGTTAGCATAATGGCTATGTCGCTGGATTTCCACGTAGTCGACCGCAGTTCACATCCCACACCCAGTGGCTTAGAACTCATGCTGAGCGCTTGTGTGTGCGTGCCCAAGATCCTGAGAGGAGAATGGAAGAGAAGGGATTGTGGCGTGACCATCCCCCGTGGGGGGTGATTTCTTGCTTTCTGTCTCTATGTCTCTCTCTGTCTGGCGAGCGCACGCGCCCTATAGCGAAAACCAAAAAAAAAAAAAAGGAAAAAAAGAAAGGCACATGACAATAAAAAGAAGACAGGAACAACCAGTAGTGATATTGCACACACACAGAGGCAGATGGAACACTGAGTTCCATTCCATGATACGTGTATAGGGGAGCTGGTGTAGAGATCATTGTAGCATTGCTTACTGTTTAATTCTCCCTTGGGATTAAGATCTGGTAATACTCCAGAAAGATGTATCGTATTTACCCTGTGGTTTCCCCTATCCCTAGAAAGGATGTGCCCCTTGAGGGACTCAGGTACCCATTTGAGAAGCCACGTTCTAGTCCATTTACTCCAGGTGAGAATACACCTGCTATTCTTGTCAAGAAACCAAAAGAGCCAGCAGAGTCCACAGTCTGGCTGTGCTCATTCTGGTCGTTTTTAAAAGCTTCCTGCTCAATGTTTTGCTTGTTAGCTTTGCCCGCGTGTGTTTGTGGTTGGGGGCGGGATCGTGGCAGCAGAAGCCACTTGGGTTCAGAAGCTTAGCCTCTCTTGCTTGTGCTGAGTTCATGATGGCTGTCCTGGAGAACTTCCTCTCCACAGTTCCTCACATCTGTCATTCCACAACCCTTCGGTCCCCATAGGAGTCCAGACCGGAAGGTGCGTCG